GAGTCAACGATGACTCCAAGATCCCTTTCTGCCTCCGTGCTCTCAAGAAGGGAGTTTCCCATCTTATAAGTGTGCTGCTGGTTACTGCTGCCCAAGTGCAGCACCCTGCACTTGTCCGTATTGAAACACATCCTGTTTTTGTTAGCCCACCCCTGCAACCTATCCAGGTCTTGCTGCAGTCTTTCCCTCCCAGCTAACGTGCCCACCTCGCCCCAAATGTTGGTATCATCAGTAAATTTGAACAGGTTGCTTTTCACCCCGTCGTCCAAATCGCTGATAAAGAAATTGAACAGCGCGGGCCCAAGGACCGAGCCCTGGGGGACTCCTCTGCCCACTTCCCCCCAGGTCGAATATGACCCGTCCGCCACCACCCTCTGCGTATGAGGGTAAATCTGATCTCTTTTATCAGACATGCAGACACTTCCTCTCCCTGAAGACGGGTGTTTGTACCCGAAAGCTAGCAAAAAAGAATTTTTCCAACTATTTTAGTTGTTCTAATAAAAGATATTGGATTTACACAAAGGATATTGTCTAAGAAGAGCCAGAGACACTGAACACGTGAGAGTCATAAGGGGCATAAAAGGCATGATGGACACGAAAAGCGTGTTATGCCCAAGGCAGCCACAGATGCGAATGGGGTGCAGATTTGCCTACAACAGCCCGGTCAGGGATGAGGCCTGTGGGGTCTACTCCTTATCACCCAGGAAGACCTGCAGACAAAATTTGGGGAGAGGTGGGCACGTTAACAGGGAGGGAGAGACTGCAGCAAGACCTGGATAGGTTGCAGGGGTGGGCTAACAAAAACAGGATGCGTTTCAATACGGACAAGTGCAGGGTGCTGCACTTGGGCAGCAGTAACCAGCAGCACACTTATAAGATGGGAAACTCCCTTCTTGAGAGCACGGAGGCAGAAAGGGATCTTGGAGTCATCGTTGACTCCAAGATGAACGTGGGCTGACAATGCGAGGTCACGGTCGGCAGGGCTAACCGGACCCTATCGTGCATCCACAGATGCATCTCGAGTAGGACCAAGGAGGTGATCCTCCCCCTCTACGTGACACTGGTACATAGAGCTGGGTGATGAGCTGCCGGAGACACGTCTGTTAACAGAGCAGGGTGCTCTTGTCAGCCGGCCGTGGTCAGGTGGGAATGCAAAACCGCTGCTTGCCACCCTTGCCCACTTTGAAGGGGCCTCTGCCAAAATATAGTAGAGTAACTCAAGCACAAGGCCCCCAAAACCTGTTTCTGCGTGACCACAGAGCGAGCCTTGGCAGACCTGGTGACTAGCTGGGCCGGCAAAGGAAAAGAAAGCAGGTGGAAAACATCCAGCGAACCCGGATCGGACCAAACAGAGCAACAGGCCTGAAAGAAAACCCGTTACAACCAAGAGCCTAACGAGAGAGAATCCACATAGACTCGATCATTGTTGTGGTTGGCACACGCCAGAAGCAGCGACTGACATAACCAGTGCCTGGGTGCAGACGGGCTTCAGCAGAGACACTGGTGTTCAGTCCCTTAGCAAGGTGTAGACAAAGCCGCTTTGTCAGGGAAGACCAGGAGCCCCGGTGCAGCGGGAGGGCGGTGGCAAGCAGCAGTGCATAGTGGGGAAGGCGGAGGTGAGAATCCCTCCCTTCCAGATGTGTAACCTGCCCCGGCTGGTCAGTCAATCCCAGCTGACTGGCACCTTCCCGGTGCAGAGGAAACCTGGTCCAGGTCCCCTCACCAAACGGCAGTGAAACCAAGAAATGTGACTTAAACCCGTCAGAAAACACTTCTTAGACTACTAGCCACACGCGAGTGCAGGGGATGGCGTGGAGGGAAAAGTGGGGAGCTCTGCAAAGGCAGGAAGACCGGCTGCCCAGCTGCACCACCTCTTTCTCCCCGGTGCGTCTGTGGCAGAAAGCCATCACAGGATCTCTCCAAACTCTGCTATCAGGCGTATTACCTGTCTATCCCTCTGGCTGCTAAGCCATCAGCTCTGCCTAGTGCCCTGGCCGCATGGTGGAAGGGCAGGGGCCCAGCTGGGGCCCGGTGATGGAGGAGACCTGTGCTGGCCCCGGGAACAGGGCACAGCAGCCGCTTCCCCAGTCACGGCCAAGCAAAGCCCACGGGGAGCAGGTCAGTTGGGAAGGCTGCACTGTGGAGGCGAGGGACGGAGACCGACGGGGAGTCAGGGCTGTGGAGTGGCAGCTTTCAACCTGTTTTTCATTTGTGGACTGCGCTGGACATTTCCACCAGAGAGCCGGACCCCTTTGGACTGGAAGTGTTGTGGACAAAGACCTGGCGCAGTCATCACACGCGTGTGCTGGAAACAGAGCTAAGGGACCGGGGAGGGTCCCAGACCGCTGGGGCTGGTGGGACCGAAGGAAGCAGAGGACTACGCTGACGTTTCGAAGCAGAACCTGTAAGAGGTGAGAGACAGGAATACCTGGAAGAGACAAAGGGCAGTCCACAGCCATGAGCAAACGTAAGTGCATGGCTGCAGACCGATTACACCACGGCCGATCCAGTGAATATCTGAGTCCTCATTGCGTGGGGGCCGGATGAAGATGTTTCGAAACAGCATCTTCTGTAACTCGTGTCTGCGCCGCCTGCCAGCTTTGAGCTTTCAGCATGGGTGGGGGAAGGGAGCACGGGGAGTTTGGTCTGGGGGTTTCAGCACCACCCCCGCCTCCAGCACTGGCTGGGGAGCCCCAAGAACGAGCTCCCCCTGCTTCCTTCCCCCTCCCACTCTGCACACCGGGACCGGCTGGCAGGGACAGGGTGCTTGCTAAGGCAAACCGGCTGCAGGCTCCCAGCCCACAGCAGCGAACTTCTGTTTGGTCTGGGGCGTCATCGCAACTGAGACCACTTCCTGCAACGTCAGACCGCTTCCTGCACTGCTGTCTTCACCTAGAGACGTGAATGCGTGAGAGCCCTGGTACACGCGCCGTAGGGGAGGGGCGTGCTACGTGTGACTGTGGTCAAGGCACCAAGGGAGAGAAGCGGGTGCGCATTCACCTATGAAACCCCAGGCAGAGATGAGGCCTGTGGCATCTCCACTCCAGTGCCTGAGAAGACCTGCAGATCCCGCAGAAGGACTTTTTGAATCCCTGGCTGTAAATAGATGCTCTGCCCTCGGGATTACGTATGACTTTTGCCAGCCTTTCTGTTGTCTCTTTGGATTATTATATTGCATTTTAAGTGAGACCAAGTTGTGTGTCCTGCCACTGTCAGGGTGTCATACTGGGCCACGTCTCAGCTTAGGTGCAGTTTTCGGTTGTTCTTTGTCACGTGCTTGAAGTTGCAGCTTGCTGTGCTCGATAAACGCTTTCTCTGGAGAACGAACTATTCCTGTTCAAGCATCTGTGTGTTCAGTGCTGCGACCTGCCGCAGGGGTGGGCCGTTATCTGGGCCCGAGGGTCACAGGGGGGTTTGATGAGGTGTCGCGGGCCGGATCAGCACCAAGGTCCCCTCTAAGGTGCGCACGTGCGTGACCGCGCACTGCTAACAGCTAAAAGTACGACCGCACACGGCCTTTTCAAGGCAGCCCACCAGGAGAGGCTGGGGCAGGAGCCTGGCACGGGCTCCGCCAGCTCCAGGAAAGTGCTCCGCTCCCCCGCATCAGGGCCAGGGAGTGGAGCACTTCCCCGGAGCCAGTGGAGCCCATGCGATCCCCCTGCCCAGCCTCCATCCCTGCCTTGCCTCGCGGAGGAGCTGCTGCCTGCCCCAAGTGAGGCTCTGCCGGCTCCGGGACACAGCTGAATACCCACGAGCAGTTCTGCCTGTCGCGGTGCTGGACGCAGGGTCGGGGTCTCTGCACTGGCAGTCCTCAGGCGAGGCACAGCCCGAGGGCCGTTGGAAGAGAGATGGTCATTAGCCTGACATGGTCCAACGAGGCCCGCATCACCTACCCTATACTTGCATGCTTCCCCCTATTACCATATGCCCAAGCCCCCCCACAATGGCAAACTTACCATCGGCTGCACTTGTGTCCCTGGCTCTGACACAACAGTGGACGGGGGAGACCTGGGGCGGGAGCGGTAGAGGGAGTTGGGAGGGGGAAGGAGGTTCAGACGGAGCTATAGGACGGGGAGGGAGCATTTGGGATGAAGCGGTGGGTGGTGGAAGCATCACTGCTGTGACAATCAGCATGGGTGTAAGGAAAAGTGGGATGAGATTTGGGGGGAAGAGGGACAA